TTTCTGCGCTTTCCACCTGGATTTGTTTGTTATCTCGCTCTGCAATTTTCTGTTAGCGCTTTCCACCTGGATTTGTTTGTTATCTCGCTCTAACGAATGTTCCGGGAAGAAGAACCCTCACCTGCTTTTTGGACACTTCCACATTACCAAACAAGGACCCTCTGGATGTGCCTGCTGCTTCCCCTTCATCATACGGTTCCCATAGTAGATCGGCCTCCTCCTCCTCTATCACGCAGTCTTCTTCGCCCTAATATCGAGGTCGTCGCAAAAGGGATTCCGCAAGATAGAAGAGAAACTATCTATCAACTTGTGCACCTTCCTTGTAGCGGCGTGTTCAGCATCATAGGATCCGAAATACTCCTTGTTCTTTAGTGTTACATCCATCCATACATAACATACTTTGCCACATTTGCCACATGGCAACCCTTATCTTTTTTGAAAATTGACCGCAACCCTCACCTTTTTCAAAAACTGATCGATAACAGTGGAAGACGGTTTGAGTAGGAACTGACTCGCCTCCAGCAACTAAAAATCCGCTGAGGGCGGCAAAACTAACATAAAAAGATTTTTACAACTACGAGGGAAAGTCCTGCAAGTTGCAAAAACGCCGTCGCCCATCAAACCCGATCTTTGGTCCCGTGCCTATGAAGCGTCACGCTTACCTCGACTCCAAGCCGCCACTGCTAGACTACCGGCGACCATTGCTTTTGTGCTTTCCCCTCTTGAGCGCTCCACGGAGACCACCTCCACAACTTCCTTCAGAGAATCGTTTGGCAGATTTTGAATGCAGATTTGAAATTAGCATCAAAAAACAAGTCTAGCAGTATAAGTCCCATTTCAAATGGCCACTTCGACTTGAAATCCTTCCCTTGTGAGATCATCCCATAGGATGAATTCGAGGTACCCTCGTATACCATATCTGGCGCTAGGTCGGAAAATGGCCTAGTTAGGGAGTTATAAAAGCTCAAAGATTACACCGTGAGTAACCTCGTACAAGTTTCACAGACATTGAAGAGGTTGCGCCGATCACAAGGTAACCCATGTAAGAAGTTCAAAAAACTTGCCATGAACCATAGCGACAATGCGCAATTGCAACAGCTTAGATCTCATCCGAATACCCCTTCCAAGTTATTTCCATCATGGCAATCTCTTTCAAACCCTATTCCCCCTACTTTTAAGGAGCCATATTTTTTTCAAAATCGGCGAATTGCTTTCTTCACTGCCGATGCGTCTTATCAGATACTTCCTTTTTTCGTCTAAGAACCTTAAACCGCAAAACTGTCGTGAACTGTGCCTCGAAGAAACGATGATGGAGCCGCATATGTCATACACAATCAAGTGTGTAGTGTTATTATGTAACAATGTACTGGAATTTTCAGAGCATCTTAGGTAAAAAATTGAACTGGGGGCAACTTTTGTGAACTTTGCAACCTTCTGAGCTTTTTTCCTGTCTTATTCTACAAATTCTTTCAACAAACTTCTCTCCCGTAGTTTTCGTCAATTTTTTCTTCGGTCCTTGTATTTTCCTCTGTACCTTGACTACCCTGTGTATTATACAATAGTATTGAATCTACAGGGCGGAGGTGGTGTAGTGGCAAGTGGCGCACTATATCACACGCACGGTCAGGGGTTCGAATCCCGGATCGATGCCCGCTTAGGCCAACCAAGCCCTCCATCCCTCCGGGGTCGGTGATTTGGTACCAGACTCGTCTGGGAGGATAAAAGCACTGACTTGTACATCGGCTGGCCACCGCAAGTCATTGTATAGGCCACATACGCACTCATTACGCCACTACGATTCTGAATGGAAGTCGAGTGCGGGGGCGCATCCCTTAGACGGGATTGATTAACGCCAAAATCTTTATCCTTTTATCCTTTTATTGAATGTACATCTTCTTTTACCCAATTTTCACTTTGGCTATTCCTATCGTGAATCTTCTCCCCTTACTCCTTAGCTGCCTATAGTTATAGGGCACCCCAAGAGGTTGGCGGACGCACTGAGCTATATCCGGGTGGCAATCCCTCCATGAGGTTTGCAGTGTTTACCGGCCACGACCAATCCTGTTCTGGGCGAACCAGTTGCTCCTCTGCCCCTCCTCCTCCACCTTTTCCTTACTATCCTTCTCTAGACTGTAGTATAATACTTCATTCTACGATATTCCTGATGCTATTTCGAACCTACCATTGCATATTGCTTTGACAATAATACTATATATAACGCGCTAAGTGTTTCTGTTGGTTTGTCTCCGTGTGTGTGTCTGTATCTGTGGGTGTGTGTGTGTGTCTGTGTCTGTGTCTGTGTCTGTGGGTGTGTCTGTGCCTGTGTCTGTGTCTTTGTGTGTGAGTGTTTGTGTGTGTGTGTTTGACCGGAAATTCATAACTCCGCTTCCCATGGACCTATAGAGTTAAAATTTGGTATTAGTACAGGCGGCAGGATGGGAACACCTATGGTGGGTGGCAGGACCGGACTCCGCCTGCAGGGGGGCGGTGTTTGGCAAAAAAACTTATACTTGGACCTAAAGAGCTAATATTCGACAGAAATACAAGCGGCAGGACGGGAGCACCTATGTCGGGCGGCAGGACTTAATTCTCCTCACAGGAGGCGAGGCTTGGGCGAAAAAAGGATAATTTAAACTTAAGCGGAACTTCGAAACCGTGGTTGAATTAATCGAAAAAAATCAAGTTACTCAAACACACAGAATCTGAGGAGGTTTATTCATGGTGGACAGGGCGCGCACGAGTTGTGTTAGGTGTTTGTGCTTAGCCGGGAGGGAGATGCAGAAGGAGAGGTCATTTCGACACTGGAAGGGGGAGTCCGGCGTCAGCCGGGCGAGCCGACTGG